CGAGTGTGTTGTCCCATATGAAAAAGACATGTCCAATCATGTAGAGAAGATCTCCTTTGCTGATGCCTTCACGAGATGGTTCATGTCTTCACTGACTTGCTGGGGAACAATCGTTTTAAGTAAATTCTTTTGTCCTTTAAGTATATCAATTTCATGCTGCCATTTATGCAAGTCACTTACCCCTCACATCCGGCTCAAGGGTAATCATGGAATAATGGAATGTAAAAGACTGTAAAGGCTATAACTGTGCTGGGGTGGAGGGTAGGAGTGCTGATAATACTCCTTCTTTGTCCTGAAATCTTGCCCGTGTCCCCTCATTGACCTCTCTCAGGGCTACATGTCCCAGGCCCTTGGGCGTTAATGTATATGCCTTAGACTCGCAGGCCATGACCAGAATGAAGGAAGGTTTGCTCTGGGCTTCCACAAAACTGTTTAGATAACTATCAGAAGTAACATAGTTTCTCCCCTTGTCATGAGTACACTATAAAGGCGCACACTCCTCTTGTGTCCTTCTACAGTGGCAGCTCTGTTCAGTCATGAAACAAAGTAAATCATAGTCATAAGCAGGTTCAGGATTCCAAATTCTATGACATTTCACCGTGGGATTAGACTTGGTTTCTTACAGGGCACATGGAGCAGAAATGAGACAAATCACACAGCAAAAAAAAAAAAAAAAAAAAATCAGAAGGCTGGAGGAAGTTAACAAACCAAACACGAAATTGGTCTGTGCATGCACAGTTGAGAGACCTTGGTCAGGTCCCAGTCCCCATTCGGCACTTACTGCTTATTGTGTTCAAGCAGTGAAGGATCTCAGTTCTGCTTGGAGATCAGTCGGGCTGAGCCTTCGACTGCAGTTGCCTTTTGAAAGTGGTCAGACACAGAGAGGACATGTCTGAAGAGCCTGAAAGTTTGCTGCAAAACTCCTCCCCTTTTAAAGTGACTTGATTGGTCTTGGGCTCCTGTAGACCTCCTCTGCTTCTGCTTGTTATCAGTTCTGGGGTGTCAGCTGAGGCTGGTCCTGGTGACATCTCAGAGCCTCAGAACCTTTAACTGCTTGTGTCGTTGCTTGATACAGGCTCCCGCTGGACATGAGAGACTCCACTTTGCTGTCTCCCTCATATTGCACACACAGTGTCATGAGGACTGTTAAATGTTGACTATCATTTAACTTTGTCACACCCTTTGATCTCACTACAATGCTCTCTAGTAGGTCCCCTCACTCTATAAAATCTGTAAGACTAAGGTCTTGATTCGGGAAGACTAGCTGCACAGCCCTCGGGATCTCCATATGTAAGTTCGAGACCATCCCTGTAAGTTACCCTGAATAAGTCTGTGTAAACTCAGTGGACTTGCCGCCTTCGTTTCTCAGTCAAAGAAGCTTCACAGTCTGCAGCATACTTCACAGTCCCTACACCTACTAACATTCTTGAAACTGGGAATTTGTGTTTTGTCTCCTTTCGTTGTCAGTCTTCCTAGAAGTTTGTCAATCACATCATTTTTTTCAATTAACAAGCTTTATATGTCATTGAGTTTTTCTATTGTCTTCCTTTCCCAATTTTGTTCATTTCTACTCTTATAGGTACTATTTCTTTCTTTAGCTTCCTTTAGGCTATTTTGCTGCTACTTTCTCTACACTCTTAGAGTGGGAACATAGATTATAGATGTTTTTCTTCTCTTCTTTTTAAGTTAAATTCAAGCTAGTTAACATATAGTTTTGTATTGGTTTCTGAGGTAGAATTCCGGGAATCATCACTTACATATAACACCCAGTGCTCTTCCCAACAAGTGCCCTCCTTAATGCTCATCACCCATTTAGCCCATCCCCCCAAACACCTCCTTCCATCAACCCTCAGTTTGTTCTCTATATTTAAGGGTCTCTTATAGTTTCCCTCCTTCTCTGATTTTATCTTTTTAATATTCCTTCCCTACTCCTATGTTCAGCTGTTTGTTTTGTAAATTCGACATGAGTAAAATCATATGATATATGTCTTTCTCTGACTCACATATTTCCCTTATCATAGTACACTCTAGATCCATCTCTGTTGTTGTAAATGGCATGATTTCTTTCTTTTTCATTGCCAAGGAATATTCCATATATATGTATATATACCACTTTTTATTTATCCATTCATCAGTTGATGGGCATTTGGGCTCTTTCTGCAATTTAGTTACTGTGGATAGTGTTGAGGGAGACAAAGGCAAAAGAACTGTAGCTTAAATTAAATCTCCTTACCTTTTGCTGCCCACTGATAGATCCCTGAAACAGGCAGAGTTTGACCTTGGTCAAGGAACTCACGGCTGCCTTACTTCCATGATGGTTTTTGTTTACCTAAATGTAAACTTCTCTTAACAGCACTTTGGCCAACAAGGTTCTGAAAACCTTGCATCCAAATTCCTTAGAGACTCATGCTATCCCTATACATGTATGTACATGAGTATATTATATACAGTATATAATCAGTCACTCCTCACAAACCCAGTGCAGCTCTTTCTGCCCACAAGCCCTGTCCTGTCCTTTAATAAAATCATCTTTCTGCACCACAGATGTCTCAAGAATTTGTTCTTAGCCATTTGCTCCAGAACCCCATCATTTTGGTGCCCTTTTGTGGGGCTTTTTGAGTCTTTTCATCTGGACTCTGAGCCTTGGTGCAAACTTGGTGAGGACTTTCTCTTTCCTTCTTTTGGTCTCATTTCAGGGGCTTTTCAAGGAGTGTGGTGTTATTAGAACACTTTCATGTCAAGTACTCAGTCTACAATCCTCCAGCCCGTGGCTACTCTCCCGGGAGGAGAAAGCCTGCCTTTTGACTGGAAGTTAGCACCTTGGCCAGAATGGTAATAAGACCCAGAAACTTGGTGCCCTCTCTTTATTCCTGTCCTTATACAAAGTTGTCTTTCTCGGGCATGGGACAGCCACCTCAGTAACAAGCACTCTGCCAATCTTAAGACTCTTGGGTGAGATTTCCTCCTTATTGGTCTAATGTGATTCCCTCCACCTCTCTGGCCCAGCCACTTCTGGCCACTACACCTCCACAAGAAGCCTGCCACATCCAGTACCCGACTGAAGTAAGACCCAACCAGGGACAATTTCCTAGGGAAGTTGGCTGTAAAGACTGTATGTGTTGGAATGTCGCTTAGATCATGATGGATTTCATTGTTTACTCTTTTCTGTCAATGTCCTCTACTAACTACTTAAATTACAGAATTGGGTAATTCCTCCTTGGAAAAACATTTCTAGTGTTTTCCATGGATGAAAAACGGCAGAGCCCCCAAGGAAAATAAGGTATGACCTTCATGGCTCCTGAAGACAAAGTAAAATAAGACACGTCCTTCCACAGCATGACTTTTTATGGTATGGCTTTCCAGGCACAGCACGGCACAGTATTTCTGCCCACATGCCAGGCACACATTTGGAGTCTAGAATGAAAAGAGGAGGTGAAGGGACACTAGCATCCCTTCTCCATTGTTCTTGAAACTTTTCTGAAAAATGTGTTTTTTCTTATAAAATTAAGTTTCAGCATGTTAACATCTAAGAACAAATAATCCTCTTCCTTAGATGCTGTTTGTAATTATAATTAGTTTATAGCTATTTAATACTCTGTGTTTAAAGAAAATTCACAAATTGATGCTGCCTAAGAGGGGTGACTTAGGGTCAGTTGGTTAAGTCTCTGTCTCTTGATTTACACTCAGGTCATTATCTCACAGTTTGTGAGTTCATGCCCCACATCAGGCTCCACAATGAGCCTGCTTAAGATTCTTTATCTCTGTCTCTCTATCTGATCCCCTTGTCCCCACTCATATCTCTCTCTTTTTAAAAGAAATTTTTTAGATTAGAAAACTATCAAATAAGACACTTGGAGAAAAGCCCAGCTTTCGTTTCTATCGCTTCAACCTACTCACTCATTTTGCCCAAAAGGCAACCATTTTTTAAAAGTCCTGCCATTGTCATATATAGAAAAGTAAATAGATTTAAAAGATGATGGAGAAAGAGATCATGATAGATGGGTACAGATAAAAGGAACTGATGTAGCTATACATCCCTATTCTCTTCCTCTATCCTGTTAAACAAAATGTTGTGTGTTGTACAAACTCTCCTATACCTGCACAGAATTGGAGATGATTGTAAGCAGGCTGTTATTTTTTTATTCTAGCTACATAATATTTCTTTGTTTGTATGCACATCAGAGTATTCATAGTTTCTGCCTTGTTTCCCACCATTGCCTCTGATTTCTAACATAAGATCCATACACGATGTTCCTGTACACACAGTACACTGCTTACAACTGGAAGGCCTCGGACATACACCTTTTTCACTAGATTTGTGGCTTTGTCCTGATGCTCTAAGGGCAAGGATGGGGAAGGATGCATCCCAAGCCAAGTGTCTGAATGATACTGCTGTTTGTCTGAGAGACAGATAGAGATAGACGTGTAGATACTGCCCACCATAGTCTCTTGAAAGGGGTTTCCACAGGTTAAGAGACTTTAATATAAAAAATCAAGGAAAGGGACACCTGGTTGTCTCAGTCAGTGGATATTTAACCCTTGAACTCAGGGTCATGAGTTTGAACCCCATATGGGGGAAGTAGCCTACATAAAAATAAAGTGAGATGAAAATATAATGAGTAAAATAAAAAATCAGGGAAAAGAAACAAAGTGATTATAAAATTTTTGTGAGCATCATGTCATTATGTTAGTGCCTTTCTGATATTTTTTGTCCCCTGTCTTGTGCAAAGGGACTTATGTTTTGTCTTTAAGAACAAAGGGGTGTAGGATACCAGCATTGTATGGGCCTTAGGGCTTCCTCCTAGCTCCAGAAAACATGTCTAATTATGGAATGCATAAAGACCAAGTATAAAACAGACGGATAAAAAGATACCTTCCAGATCTACATCTGACCCAAATTCTGGAATATAAATAAAAACGAATATCGTGATTTCTTGTGCAATCTTTCTTTTCTCACTTATTTTTTCCTACTTCTTTCCCTTGAGACTATACGAAACAGATGGTTGTCACTCCATGTTTATTTGAGAAAAGCTTATAAAGATACATGAGCAGAAGGTGAATTCTAATACAGGGGAGGCTGTGAGGGCAGCATTCACAGGGGACCGGGAAGAATGAAGATAAGGTACTGCAGTCAGTACTGGGGCTTCCAGGTCAAGTACGGGGTGGAGAGGACCATCAGGGGGCATGGGTTCTGCAGGGTCACTGAACCCAGGACAAACCAGGTGTGGTAAAAGCACTGTGTTTGTGGAAGAATAAGAGCCAAGCAGGAAACATTTTTACTCTGTGAAGAGGCTTGAAAAGAAGGTTCTTCCTGGAGTGTCAGCATCTCCACTTCAGCTCAGGAGTCCTGCAGAAGACAGAGCAGAGTGCTGTTTCCAGATTCACCTCCACAAGCAGCTTCTTCTCCCCCCCATCTCAGGGCCTCATGTTAAAGCACCACACTAAGAAGAAGAACATATTCTTAAGTATCCTTGAACCAAAGCTATTTACACTTGTAGGCCTTTTCATAAGCAGAGAGAAGAAGCTTCAGTTAACTATCTGAGCAGGAGTCAGATCCAAAGTCTTTGACATTATTTCTACCTTTTGACCTCCACCATGTATTTCAGGATAATCAACTCTATCTCTGAAAAGGATCAGAAGCATTACCTGTTGGCTGAAGTCCAGTGTGTCCTGGGAAAGAGAAGGGAAAAATATACTTAACAGACACGTAGGCAAATCTGACCCCACAAGCAAGGTCCCAACTCCAGACCCACCTCCTTAGATTTTTCTAATATCACAACCCACAACCTGATGCCAGAGGGAGTAGAAAGGGAGAGATGTGACCCATGAAGTTTCTGTCACACGAATATTCTGTGGTTTCATTAGCTTTCGTAGCTCTTCCTGATTTTTCCCAGAACCCCAACCCAAGATATCCTGCTTGTTAACCACTTTATTATCTCTACAAGCCATAACCTTTTATGCTGCAACACAGTAACCATGGACCATCGCTTTCTGGATTTCTAGGAAATCAGAGGTCAAATGGGGAAGGAAAGGCTTCATACAAGTCCATGGCTATGCAGAGAATTTATGTGATCACAGCTGTATTTCCCACCCACAAGGTCTACAGAGAGGCTCAAAGACCAACAGGTGCCTTACCTTTCTGATTCCGGAAGTAGATGAACAGCCCCACCACCAGGAAGAGCAGACCCAGAACAAAGCCCCCGATTCCACTCAGCATCTTGCTCTGTGCAGATTCTGACTGAGCCCCTGAGAGAAGAAGCAGTTTTAGTGATTTTTTACCCCAAATCCAACTTCTTTACGGATACTCTGGGATAGAGAACTTTGAGAATGAAGAATGAAGGCTGCCCTGGAAGAAGCAGAATAAATGGCAATTTCAGGAGAAAAAAAATTTAAATCCCATTCTGTAGATACAATGTTTACATAGTGAACTTTTAAGTATCACCGCTCTGACAAATCCATTACAGCAGCATCTATGGATGAGGGGCCTGGGACTCCATGAAGTTCAAGTAGCTGGTGCAGGGTGAAAGAATAATAAAAACCATTGCCAAGATTGAACTCCCTTCCTGTCACGAAGGTCCCTACACCATAGAGGATGTGCCTCTTCTTAAATCACAATGAACAACACACAGCAATGATGCCAGAAGCACAAGCCCAGCCCGAGGCAGGGGACTAGTGCCCAGTGTCCCCGGGGAACCATTACTCGGGAGCCATGGAAAGTCTCATTACGTGGACAACCTCTTTTCTGCCTGCCAGGCATAACTATCTCCCCAAGGATTGTAGGATCTGTGAAAAAAATCACAGAATATCTATAAAATATCAGAGGATTTCTATCACAGGATCTCACTTCGTTCCCCACCCCTACCCCCCCACCCCCATCCCCGGGGACCTGTGCTCAAGAGAAGAGACCATGGAAGAAATGAAAATACGGTGTAAGGAGAGAGAACCCTGACACTCAGGGGAAGCAAAGTCCCCTCCTCATGGGTGAGCAACTCATGAGGTCAGAAAGCTACTCACTCCACTCCACGGTGATAGGGCTCGGGCGACTTGGATGCTCCACGTGGCAGGTGTAGACCTCTCCACTCTGAGGAACTGTTTCCAGCATCACCAGGGTCTGGAAGGTCCAGTCTCCATTACGGATCAGGCCTGTGGACACGACCCCAGCCTCCTCCTCCTGGCCGTTCCGGAACCACTTGACTTCAATGAGGCCTGGATAGAAACCATTCACAGAGCAGACCAGGAGGTTGTGGTGCTGCAGGGGCTGGGTCTTCGCGGGGTACACGGTCACTGTCGGCTCAACTAGAAGAGAAGTGGTAGAGGGACTAAGAGAGGAAGACAGAGCGAGTCTTCCCGGTTGGCCTCCTTGCTGCTTCCGGTCTCTGGTCTCAGGCTGCATCTCACGCAAGCCTCCCTCAAAGCTGGCCACGTGGCTCAGTGTGAGCCAGTAAGTAATGAGTCTTGATTTTAAATTTTTTTTTTTAATGTTTTATTTATTTCTGAGAGAGAGAGACAGCGTGAGCAGGGGAGGGTCAGAGAGAGAGGGAGTGACAGACTCTGAAACAGGCTCCAGGCTCTGAGCTGGCAGTCAGCACAGAGCCCGACGCGGGGCTCGAACCCACGAACCGCGAGATCATGACCCAAGCGAAAGTCGGACGCTCAACCGACTAAGCCACCCAGGCGCCCCAATGAGTCTTGATTTTAATCCTGAAGAACGGGCCCATTAGATTTGAGAGATGTTGCAGAAATATGCGGGGTTCATTTTTCATAGTGTGAAGCTCCTATTCCTTGTTGAACTGAAGTGTTAACACATTTTGCAAGGCATGTAGTATATCAGTTAAAAGCATGATTTCTGGAGCGGGCTGCCTGGGTTCAAATCCAGGCCCTGCCACTTTACTGACTGATCCTGGGAGAATATTACATTTCTCTGCACCCAGCTTTCTCCTGGTTCAAGGGGGATAGTGATACTAACTTAATCCTTAGGGTTAGTCAAGTTACATAACCTGACATATGTAAAACGATCATTGGAGTTTAGCCTTCAATATATGTTAACTACTTGTTATCCTTGTTTAATCCGAGAGAAAATATGATTTAAAGCGGTCTGAGTAAATTGGAGAACAGCTTGAGATAGATGAGGAAATAAAAGTATGAAACCTGGGAATGCTACACTTTCACCTTAGAAACCACAGAAATGATTCTCCCCTGGGAAGCAGGAAAGACAGAGGAGATTCTCTAGCCTATATGTTTAATTTCAAGAACAGCGTGAGTCCTGAAAGAGATGGAAAGGAGCAAGAAAATGTAATTATTTTAAAAAGTTCTCTTAATTGCACTCAGCTGATCAATCTTTCTTCTTGGCAGTAAATTGCTATTATTGGAATTATCATTTTACAATTGTCTCCCTTTTAAAGCTGACATGTGAGTTCAGGGTAGGGTCTGAGACTCATTAACAGGTATCCTTAATGTGCAGACCATCCCTTACACCACCAGCCTCAATAAATACTGTTTTCATAAAAGGAAAAATATGGGGAAAATATTTTGACAACACCATCAAATGGCAGATTTAAGTAGATGACAAATCTTTGCTAACAATTTGGTAGCATATTGAATTGAATATAAATGTTTACATTGCTAGCATGAAAAGTAATAAACAGAATCAAAACAGAAGCCACAAACGAGAGAAAATGCTGAATCAACTACCAGCAAAGCATTAATAATCTTATGCAGAGAGAATGCCTAAAATCACTGAGAAAAATACCAGAATCCCTAAGATAATCGTAGGTTATTTGTACATTGGTAACAACAACTAGGCAATAGATATGTAAAAATAAAAAGTTCAAGAACCTTAGAAATCAAAGGAATATAAATTAAACACAAAAAGGCATAAAATGTCAACTGAATTTTGCAATATTGGGAAAGAAGATCTAACAAAGGGGAATGTGAGGTGAATTGTTACAACTATATAATGAAATAATATTCATCTCCTTAAATACTTTCATCATTAAAAAAAGAGTAAATCAATACATTTAGTAACAAAGTTATAATTAAGATACCTGGCTTTGCAATCATTTCAAGAATGTAAGAATACATACACGAAGAGAAAAAGAGCAGGAAGTTTAGTCCTAAAAGAAGGTCTATCATATCAGAGGGGGTTGGGGTGGCTCAGTAGGTTAAGCATGCCTTTGGCTCAGGTCACAATCTCAGGGTTCCTGAGTTCAAGTGCCCAGTTGGGTCTGTGCTGACAGCTGGGAGCCTGGATGGTGGCCGCTTAGGGTTCTGTGTCTCCCTCTCTCCCTGCCCCTCCCCTGTTCGCACTTTTTCTATCTCACTCTCTGCTCTTCCCCCATTCACACTGGGTCTTACTCTCGCTCTCAAAATTAAACATTAAAAAGAAAAAAATGTATCAGAGGGGTCTCAGAGGTCCCCCAAGTCTTCAACAATCAATCTGACAATTTTCCTCACTGAAACGGTGGCACACAGCCACAGCCACACTTGTTTCAGGGGCTTCAGAAAAAGAAGGGTGAGTGTCAGGCACCGAAGGTGACCTGCCTCCTCACATTCTCCCCAATCGTCACTCCTCCCCTCAGGTCCTTCACCCCAACCAGGACCCTCTGCTCTTCCTGCCCAGATCTCCAACCACCTGCCCAGTGTGCCCTCCCCGGGGGGTCCTGAGCCCACCCCACCTCTGCCTCAGGGGCCACCCAGGATGCTGATGTCCTGTCCTGTTTCCTCCCCAGACACCCACTCTCCCCACATCCAGGCCCACTGCCCCCCCTTCCCACACACTCATTCTGTGTCCCACCTCCCACACTGTGCCCACAGTCATACAAGGACACACCACACTGTCCCCACAGTCACACAGACACACACCACACACTCCCCACAGTCACACACAGACACACCACACACTCCGCACAGTCACACAAGGACACACCACACACTCCCCACAGTCACACACAGACACACCACACACTCCGCACAGTCACACACAGACACACCACACTCTCCCCACAGTCACACACGGACACACCACACTGTCCCCACCCACAGACACACCACACTCCCTGACGTCACACCCTCGCAGGGATCCTGTAACCTGCACTTGCTCAGACCCTGCACGCTCACTGGACCGAGTCCCTCTCACAGTCACACACGCGCAGCCCTTGCTGCCCCCGCCCCCTACCCCGCTCACCTCGCCGCTGCACCGTGAAGCTCTCATTTACCCCGTAGTTGTGTCTGCAGTAAGTGTCCACTGCGGCCCGCGCGTCCTCCATGAGGTCCTTCTGCCCGTTCCAGTACTCGGCTTTGGGCCGCCCCAGCTCCGTCACCGGCCGGTACTCCCCCACGTCGCTGTCGAAGCGCACGTACTCTTCCCGGTTGTAGAAATATCTGTCCAGGAACCGCACCCGCTCCGTCCCGTTGGTGAACTGACACTCGGGCTTAAACTGGTACATGTAATGTGCTGTGGGGACAGGGCGATCAGTCACCGCGGGCCCCTGGAAGGCACTGACGCCGGCACCCCTCGGAGCTCCACCGCACCCCCAAACCAGCTGCACCCACCGCTCTTCTCTCCTCTGCTGGCGGGGAGCGCGGAGGAAGGCGGGGGGCGGAGACCTGGGAGCCTCTGGGGTCACTAGGTTCTGGTCTCAGAGGCTGACCTCCCAGTCTGAGCATTTGCCCCTCACCGCCTCCTCCTGACAGACGCCTCCTCCTGCCGCCCACCTCCCTCCTCGCCTCCCACAGTCCTTTGCCCCTGCCTGAAACAAGTCCCACCTGCTTTCCCCTCCCCCGCGCCACCTTGAACACTTGGTCTGGGCTGGCTCAGGTGTCCCCCGCCCCTGCGAATCCAGAGAAGGGAAACAGACGCGTCCCCTCCACTCTCAGCGCTTACAATTAAAGGAAAGTGATGGCCAGTGATGCCAACCAGGCAGGACTTTATTGACATGAGAAGAGAAGTGTCACAGGAAAAGTGTGCAGTTCTAGAGCAGAAGATACTTGGATGATCTGAATTTCCTTAGGGTGGCAGAGAGGTGGCCTCAAGGGTGACGTTTAGGATGTAACAGGAAGGAGTAAGTAGGTGTGAGCAAGTGTGTGTGTGTGTGTGTGTGTGTGTGTGTGTGTTTGGTAATTCAGGTAAATGTAATACAATGTGCAAAATCTTGAAAGAATTGATGTCTTCCTCAGCAAAATAGAAGAAAAGAGTTCACTGAAGCACAGACAATGGGACAAAGGAAGGAAAAAGTTTAGGCTGGAGAAATCGCATGCAGCTGGTGCATAAAAGCCTTACAGGTGATGTTAGGATTTTGATTTATACTACATGTAATGGGAAACTACTGAAGAGTTTTAAGGAGACTAAAACCATGACTGCACTACAGTTCCTCACGTCCTTATCTGGAATTTCCAAAATCCAGAAATCTAGGAAACCGGATCTTGTTACACCTTTTTGATACCAAACTCATTTGGCAAATCGAACCTGATGAAGTAAAGGGTCAAACATGACCGAGCTCCTTTTGGTCAATCAGTCACATGTGCTTCTGGAGTTTAAGTATATATAAAGATGCACACATCATAATATATATACATATATGCTTATACATATGCACACATATACATACATGTATGTATATATTTTGATGTTTTGTTTTATGTTTAATTGAACTAAGAGAAATTCTTATTCAAGTGTAAATAACATGAAAATTTTTAAATAGCTTAAAATACCTGTGTCTTTAAAAATTAGAAAAATAAAAGGGAGCATCTGACATTCTCAATAGAACAGAATATAGAATTACTGCAGTTTGATACATTTTACAGAAAAATACTTGTGACAGTCACAACTCATGAATTATAAAGATAAACTGTTGAAAGTTAACAGAGATGCTGATGATCAAGAAATCCTGAAATCCTGAAATACACTGCATAAAGCAAAGAATAAAAAATGAAGATCTTGAGCTTGCATTGACTGAATGGGCTCAGAGAGAAAGTGTTCAATTTATGAACTCTCGATCTTATTATTTTTTGTTATGAAATAAACTAAAATAAACCACAAAGACCTGAATTGGAAGGTGATTGTGTGTAGAAAGTGTGAGTCTAGAGGTTTTAGAAGCAGCACAGTATAAACCAGTGTTTTCTGTATCAACACTCTTGACATCTTGGACAAGATATCTTTTGTAGGAAGGCTGTTCTGTACATTGTAGGATGTCTACCGTATCATTAGCCTCTTCCTAGTAGATGTCAGAAAAGAGCACCAGGTGACAAGCAAAAATGGCTCCAGACATTGCCAGATGCCCCTGGAACAGGCAGGGCAAACCTGTCCCCAGCTGAGAACCAGTTACACCACCTGAAAAATCTGTGGTGAAAAGCCCATGTTAATTATAAGACAGCTGAGAATTACATTGAAACTTTTGCCAATATTATATCTGATAAAGAAAAAAACCTTGAAACTGAACAAACTTATTTTGCTAGAAAAAAATGGCTCTTCACTGAGACCAGATTCTGAGTAAAACAAAAACAAAAACAAAAACAAACAAACAAAAACCATTCATAGTGCCTAATAAGAGAATATCAAAAGCTACTGTGAATTCTAACCAAAAGATGATTGCTCTTGGGTGTGCGAATGCTTCAGGCTTACCCAAATCAAAGTGGGCAGATACTGGAAAAGCCAAAATCCAGGATGTCTGAAAGGTGTAAATATTTTACTTGTGCATTATTTTTCAAGAAAAATAATTTTGTATCAGTTGCCTATGTTCATGACAGGCAAGCTAGACTGTGAGAAACCTGTAAGTCACTTGTCCCCATATAATTGCTCCACATACTGTACTTCTCAAATTCTTGAAAAAATTAAAGCTTTGGCTTCTAATTTTCCCTCACCACACCAAGTATGACATCTTTGTTGAAATTTTGTGACCAACACATTTTTTTAATCCCATGAAGATCAAATATAAAAAGAATTTTAAACTCTGTTCTTGATGCAGTTTACAGAGGTCTACGAATCCACAGCTTTCTGGAATAAATTAGTGGCCAGTGTTTATGACAAAGCTAATAATAAATCAACCCAAAAAACTGCTTAGCAAGACCTTGGGCTACATTCATGTTCACAAATGAACTACCGGATGAAGATATTGAAAACTATCGTGTCATTAATGATAAAATATTATATCCAACTTCAATATATGTAAAAGTTTATCTAAATAAGTCCCAGAATTAAGAAGTGCGTTTGTAAGATGAGCACCAGGTAGCATATGGTCGTGTTAATCACTATACTGTACCTCTGAAACTTATATTACACTGTATGCTAACTGTAATTTTAATGAAAACTTTAAAAAATATTCTCTACCTAAATATATACCTATAATCATAAACAAACAAACAAACAAACAAACAAAAAATAAGTCAAAGGTTCTGACATCAAAAACTACTGAGCACTGGTGATGGGGCCACGTTGGGCATTCCCTGAGTGATGGAAACATGGTAGTGGTGACGGAGAGCACTCCCCAACTTGCTCCCTGCACGCCAGAGTCTCCTGCCTTCCTTCCGTCCCTTACACTCAGCAAATTTCTTCCACACTTGACCTTTATCCTGTTCTCTCTCCTTACAACACTTGTCCCTTACATCCTTCACATGGCTGGCTTCTGTCATCAGACAGGCCTCAACTCAATGTCACTTTCTCAGGGAGCGCTCCCTACACACTTGAACTGAAGTCAGGTGGCTCCAATTCTCTCTGCCTCACAACCAGGTGTATTTTGTTTTTCAGAGTACTTATTGTTGTCAGAAATTTTTTCATTGTTAAGTGTTTATTGGCTTTCTCCTCTGCCATTACATAAAATCCATGATGGTAGTGATCTTTAGCCTATTCAAATTTATTCACTGAGCCCAGAGCAGAGCCTAGTACATGGTAGCTGCTCAAAAATATGTGATCTGAATGGATAAATCCAGGGGTCTGTGAATCAGTCAGTCTGAGGATCCTAGAAAGCAAGATGGGTTTCACACTCCAACATTCTTTTATTCTGATGATATTATATCCCCTCCACTGCCTGTGAGAACTTCAGACAAACTACCTCCTTCTCCTTCTACTGTTGGAAAATATATCACAGGTAAGGAAAAGGTGAGTTTAAGAAAGAAAGAAAAATTCATTAAGTTTCGGCTCATCCTGTAGATCTGTGATAGTGCTGAGGTCTGTGCGTACACTGGGGATGCTCAATAATGGTGATGACATAGTGGGGAAAGAATAGTGAGGAACTGGAAGTGGAGGCAACCAAACGTGGCTAATTAAAGGAAACAGAACATGAAGAATGAGCCTATGCCATTTGGGGCCAATACCTCAGTGAGCCAAAACATCCACTTGACCTGCATATTTTCTTTCAGTCGTATTAAATGCAAACAACCTTCGCACTCTCTGCATCCTGCTCAGGGTGTATAGTTCAAACCATATGAAATTCCTGATATTGACTAGTTTACCTACAAAACCATAATGTCATATAATTTATCCTATACGAGTTGAATCCCTTCCTGTGGCTCAGGCCACAGAATGCAAAGGCTCAGGAGAAATGGACTATAGAAAGGTTCAACATAGATTCATAATGAAAAATTAACTTGTGCCAGGTTCTCAGAAGATATCTTAAATTCCTTAAGACACCAAAGAACACTCATATATGCTTCTCGTTCCAGTGCCATTTCAGGTACTAAGGATCTCTGCTGTTCCTCCAGTATGAGAAATAGAGATAAAACAAGCCCCAACTTCTGTCAGAGAACCTTCAGTGCAGGGATAAAGGCCTTGTAACCTTTGAAGTTCAGGAGAAAGGAAAGGAGATCATGGGAGAGACCTCTTGATACACCCTCCTCGCATATTACAGAGAGGCACCAACATAACTAACCTGGGAAGACCTAGCACAGGGTCTTCTAGGAGAGAATTTTCTAGTTCCTTTTGGTCTCTGTCTAATTTTCTGAGAAGTTTTCTTATTTTCTAGCGTAACTCAACATAATAAAGGGAACCACTTGCTGGGAATTAATTTGAAGTCATTATTATAAGTCTTCTCAAGATCCTGAGGTAATGAGACTCAAACCTGAGAGCTTTCACTGGGAAAAATTTGAGAAGTGGCCTCTATCTATGGAGGCCCCTTACACAGCACTTGTAGAGAGGCAAGCATGCAGGCTCCTTTTCTTTTGGATAGAATTGGGGACCTATATGATAAAGGTGGACAATCATTAAAGAAAATGTCACAATTTCCTAAGGGACATGGCCTGGACACAGGGGCTAAACTACTTTCTTTCTTCCCCCCCCCCCCCCCCCCCCCGCTCCATGATAGTCCACCACCCAAGGAATGCACTTACGTGGTACGTCCCTTCCCGAAGTCAGGAGAGGGCTCAGCAGCATCAATAGCAACATCAGAGCCATCATCCAGGAGCCTCCCAGGAAACACAGACACGCCATGCTGGAGAACAGAGAGTGCAGGGGCCAGGGGAACAGGCAAGTCTCAGTCAGTGGGAACTAAGACCCTCCTTTAGCCACCTCCTAAATAATACCAACCAAGGAATTTGATTCTCTGTTCCTGGATTGGGTAATCTAGGTGTTGAGAACCAATCACCATCACAGATACACTGCATCATCAGTTGCTGGTCAGAGATTCAATATCAAGAGTCTTTTCTGAAACTTTGATTTCCTTAATTGGAAGGATTATTTTAATTCAGTATTTCAAAGGTTTCATCCAATTGTATGTGAAACATTTTATTGGGCCCCTATTGTGAGCCAATTCTATGCTGAGCAGTGATGTGCACAAAAGTTTGAATCTTTTAGGAGTAATCATGTCAATCCCATGAAGACAGAATTGTTTTAACAAATGTTTGTGTGAGTATATTAGGAGCTGAGGGTGTAGAGGGAACATGATTGCTAGTCAAGACACCTTTGATTTGGACCTTATTGCACCATCACATAGTGTAGATTTGGGGAAATTACTTAACCTTAACTTTGAAATGAAGGCATGCAGTCTTTCTGGTACTTCGATACTAGAAAGTGGTGTGATTCTCTGGACAGTTCAAGCAAGAAGCAGCATCCCCTGGTAACTGATGATATGACAGAATTATAGCTGTTGATTGGACAGTATAACCTGTACTACTTCCTTATGGGTAGGATGATCTCTGATAAACTAATGGAAGTTGGAATTTACTCACAACTTAACCTGAGTGAAAAGACTTTTCAAGTTTGTCTCCTGATGCTGTCATTGAGTTGGAAGCACGTCCAGAATATGTGTAGAAAAGGAGGCCTAGAGAACATGAACTGTATGGAATGAAGGGTCTTCAAGTTCCTTTGGATAGCACTTAACCTAACAAAGTGGTAAGGCCAACTGTCCAAATCAAAGTATACAGGGGGCTGAGAGATCAATAAAGGACTCAAAGTCAACCTCAAAAATAACAGCTCTGCTTGGAATAACTGTAATATTTTTGTGAAAAATATGTTCAATGCCTACTCCTGGATCACACTCTGATTTCATCATTTTATTGGAGATTTTTCCCTTTATTATGTACTTTCTCTTGCTTTATCCTAAGAATACAGTGCTAATGAATACAGTATATAGTGTCCAGGAAAGAGAACACAATGGAAATACTATGAGTCATGACCTTTAATGTAAACATGTAGTTTTAAATATATATTTCTACTTTTAGAAATTATATATTATATTAATATAAATGTAACATCTCAGATTCAGAATGGAGTTTAAAGGACAACTATCTATCTAAAGTTTTGCATTAACTCACAGTCTACCACAATCTAATCAGCAGTCTTTTTTTATAGACTAGTGACAGAACAAACCATGTTGCAATAAAAATGACTAATATTTACTGAGCAAATTTTGAGCATTTTACTTTGCACCCAGAATTATACAAGGGCTTTTTTTTTTAACTTTTTCAATTTATTTCTGAGAGAGAGACACAGCGTGAGCAAGGCAGGATCAGAGAGAGAAGGAGACACTGAATCTGAAGCAGGCTCCAGGCTCTGAGCTAGCTGTCAGCAGAGAGCCCGATGTGGGGCTCCAACCCACGAACCATGAGATCATGACCTGAGCTGAAGTCGGACGCTTAACCAACCAGCACCCAGGTGCTCCAACAAGGGCTTTTTATATACCGTATTTATATTTAATTCTCACATCATCTCAGTGATTTGAGTACCCTTTGCATCCCTTCGGATGCAGAGAATAAAATGATGGGTGTATGTTAAACAACTTTGGCAAAGACACAAGGCAAGTAAGTGGTGCACTCCAGAGTGAGCCGAGTTATATGTGAGTCCAAACTCCAGAAGCCCAGCCATTACATCACACCACCTCCCATTCAATTTCTGAATAGAATAGTGTCCATTATGTTAAAACTATTCTTATTACTTTAATTCATGGTTATGCATAACAATGCAACTACTCCTTTTAATGAATGACAGCATTTTATATAAATTACTGTGTAGTAATTCTAGATCCTCCAAAAGTTCTTTCATCACCATCATTACTTTCCTCTGGAAATGACAACATTTGCATTTCTCTTATGTAATGATCCCCCCCAGCTGCCGCCCAAGTATCCTTTCTATCAAAAACAATAGTGGCCTCCAAATTCTCAAATCCAGTCTATTGTTCTCAATCATTATTTCAGATTTCTCAGCATAATTTATTGCAAATTTGAACATGTCAGAATAGTATAAAAATTTTATCTCACATACTTTGGGAAAATGTATTTCCATTAATGTGGAAACTTCAAAACATCTTGTAGAAGTTGAGAAGTCATATTGTCCCTGGATTTCAGAAGAAACTATGTTCCTAGATGCCAGTGATAAGTTAGTACTATTGGAAGTTGTATAATCACAGTCAGAAGAATGCCATATTTAATTTTAAAAATGAAAACCATAGTTTACTCAGAATTAGCTAGTTGTAACAGTGATAATCTGAGAGAGTTAAGCTTAAACTCATCTTAGATTATAAAATAAAAGGAATGGCAAAAAAAGCAATTCTATATGAAGAACATTAAAATATTAAACATACTGAAATATCAAAGACATCACTATCGAAACTTATCCATATAAATTTGACAATTTACAAATCATACACATTTAGTTTTGAAAAGAATAGGCCAGCCACTATGATCTAAATTCTATAGTTGTACACATATGTGAGTAACAAAATGTGCTCCTTTAAATATAACATATTTCACAATTTTATTCAATATTAATTCAGTATTAGGAAAGTTCATATAAAACACCATAGCAAATTTTACCAAACCATCATCCTGCAAGTGTAGCCTGAAATTCTTCACCTAACACAAAATAAGTAGTCCTAGTCAACTTCTGCTATGTATCGAATAAGAGGTGTCAAGTAAGACCTTGTTTCCTGAGGAAAAGAGAGTTAAATTGGTTTCTAGAAGAGTGCTTATCAGTATAGAAGTTCTACTATCTCTGCTCTTGGTACATGAAGTCATAGGTTTGTTTTCATTGGAAATTTAAAAAAACACCTTTGGGAACAAATAAGTGACATCAAAAGCTCAGACTTTTGTTGAACAACAGGCAAGTTGAAATTTGTAGCATTACAGAATGTCTTGTATTCTACCTATTGTCACAGAATGGGACTCACTTGGAGTAAGTCTGAAAAGTTGCAGTACATCTGGGAAGATGGGCTCTTAGTTACCAGCAATCCATAGTTAGCACAGAATGTCCATCACTTGTCCAAGTAGTGTCAGAATATTCTCTGTAATTCTCAAATAGCTATGACCATGAATATGGAACTTAAAGGGGTTCCTTTATCTATGAAAACAATATTAATAACAAGAAGTAGATACACAGGGCCAATCTCTTCTACCATGAAAAACATGTATCCTTAACAGAAGTCTGTGCAATTTACAGGTCATATTAGCATTTAGAAGCCTTGATAAGACCCTTTCCAGTGAGGTTTCAGAAATGTCTTCCATTGAGTAACTTTGGTTGAAGTCATTGTTTATATTGTGGTGTTATCTAAGTGTTTTATAATACTTTAACACAGCACTCTTTTTTAGAACCAGAATGTTTACTGATGAGTAGACACAGGGAGAACAACTAGAATTCTCACAGGCCTGTCATTAATACTGCATGTGAGAAGAGTTTTAGTTTTCTTTCTCTTTGATCTAGATCATGCTTTAACTGTGCTATGGCAAAGTATTTACTTCTCATACAGTACAAATATTGCCCAGACTATTTTTCCAAATTTTACTTTGTTTCACTAGTCAATGGCCAGTGATTCCAGCTGTGTACCTGGATTGCTATCTGTTTTATTCAAAATTAATAATGAAACATTTTAGCCATTTTATTAATAGTTCAGTAGTCTATGCCCTTATAGCTAAGCAAGTTTCCACCCTGAAAATGTAAACTTAGTAATTATTCTCCCCAAGGGAGAGAAAAAGATACTTTCTTTGCTTTGTAATCTCTTCCTACCTGATGTACATCTCTCAAAGCAACTCTCTCAATATTGTAGAGCAATTTTGAGAACATTAGAGCATATGACCCTCACTATTGCTGGCATCCATATTTTGGTCATATAGTTTACACAAGGAACAAAACCTGGTGCTATTACACTTCTGCCTAGAGATACTAAAAGATGATTTGAGTGAAATGACAACCTCTCAGTTTTCAGAGTTTAGAATTTAGTACCTGAGTTTAAAGAAAAAGTTTTCAGATGAATCATATCAGTTGTTAAAATAAGATCCAAGGCAGGAATGTCTGGGTAGCTCAGTTGGTTAAGTGCCTGACTCCATTTCAGCTCAGGTCATGATCTCATGGTTCGTGGGCTCAAGCCCCCTCATCAGGCTCTGTACTGACAGTGGGATTGTCTTTCTCTCTTTCTCTCTCTCTGTACCCCTCTCTCTCCCAAATAAATAAACAAACTTAAAAAACTAATTTAAAAAATAAGATCCAAGGGGACATTTAATTATTTAAAAATCTATATTAACCAGAGGGGGGAAATGTTTTCTAACAACCACAGCAGAAGAGAACATAAGAATGCTTAGAAAGTTTAAGGTTCTTCAGAAGTGAGGAATCCTTATTGCCTTTACAATCTCTAAGCTATGAAAACCACAAAAGCATTAACAAGGATCAGTCCTATAGGCAATTGGTTCTGCCAGTGTAAGCAAAATACATAGCTGTTGGTTTATTTTCCTTTCAGAATATCAGTTGAACACTAAATTATTTTAACCATCAACATTCCTTTAGTACTATTGCTGGTATTAATTGTAATATCATTAATTTTAACCATGGTCTTTTTACCTGTAGTTTTATAGCCATGTTATTTCAGAACATCAAAAAAAAAAAAAAAAAAAAAAAAAAGGCCCATTCTTGAACTCCTATATGGGCAATTCACTGAATGTTTACATAGATACGTTCTTAAGGGTACCTCTAGTTTCCTTCTCTAAAAACAGAATCACTACCATGACAAAGATTTAATTGAGTTGCAAAATTTTAGATAGGTTTAAGCAAGTTCAGGTGGGCCATGAAATGTTGGGAGAAATTT